AGAATACTGCCCTTGTCACACTTCACAAGCCCACTTCCAGATTAGCCAAGCATCGTTACCTCCTTGGTCGTCAAGCACATCGCGGTGACCATTCTCTAAGCCAGGCTTCCGTTCGTTGACTGAATATATGTGTACGCCATCCTCACACAGTGTGCCACATGTAGTCCGAACCTCTACCACCTCGGCTCGGATGGCTGTTGATGCCTAAAGAAATCCCGAGACTTCGGAGGGCAAGGTACGGCCGTGTTTCAAGACCCGTATTGGGCCTTGCCTGCAACGCTTGACGCGGCGTTTACGAGCGAGTTTGAAGGAATCGGAGACGTCAATCCACACTCCTCCTGGGTCTACTTTACCCTGCTTCCGCGTTGTATGTTGGGGTTCGCCAACATGGGCCCATTCTCCGGAGAATGCAAGTAACTCGTAGTCGTAGTCTGCGTACTCAAGGGCTTTTGGCCCTTTAAGCACCTGGCAGATATAGTGCCAAAAGTTCATACACGACCGGCGATATGTTCCTTCGAGTGACATATCAGTAGCATGTGGATCAGCCAGAATCATCGAGTTCTGGTAGTGTCGGCTGTAGTACGCCCAGACAGGCCACAGACGGCTCCCAGAAAAGAGGTCCGACCTAAAATCAAGCATAGATTCCCAAAACATATCGTCACTCCAATCCTCTTCTGGGAAATGGCTGACGACAGTCGTTGCTGTGTTGAGATGATTGTTGAAGAGCTTGTCTAAAGCGCACCAAGTGCATGCTGCTGCGGGTGCATCTTTGTCGATACTAAAGTGTTTCCGGTTCTCCTCGATCTTAAAAAAGATATCGAGTTGGGCAAACGCATGTTTCACGAAGCTCATATCCTCTGCGAGTGTAAAGGCCGTCGGATTCCCGTACTCCGCCGTAAGTCCTGGGAGGAAGTGCTCTCGAAACATTCTGAGACAGTTCAGATCATCGACGTAGAAGTAATCCATAGCTGGACGCACAATAATGTTGATGTTGAGGTCCCAGACGCGGATGCTGACATAGCGCTGATCGTGAAGGGCCGTGATGCGTGCCTCGTGGCTGACTTTCAGAAGGGGATTCGAGTTGTACTCCACGAGGAGGTCGTTTTGGCAGTGCTCCTTGATGTATATGTACGGACGCAGGCGGATGTTGGTGGGATCAGGAAAGTCCTTGGGGTCACACACGCCCCAGATCAGGGTCCAAGGTACGGGCGGGTTGTCTTCGTAGTCGTTGAGGAACTCTTCCCACACCATGAGACGTACTTCAGACGGAAAACTGGGGAACTTTGGAAACGTATCCTCGGAGTGCTCATTCGGCTGCTTCGACTTGGATTTGGCTGTGTGCGAACGGGGCTGCTGCTTTTGGACGGTGCTCAGTGACCGCGTGGTCATCTTGTGGGCGCGCATTTCGGCGGCGGTGCTTCTAGGGATTGAAGCCCCAGGATGGGTAAACTGGCAAAGGGCGTCAGGCAGTGAACCGGTGGAGATGTATGAAGGTAGGATGAGAAAGGTTGCTTCGAGACGCGAGGGTCAAGTGGAAGAACTTATGCGGGACTTTCGAGGCGACGATGAATTGAAGAAAAGTGGGAGTGCGGCGGAGTGTGGGAGTCAGGCATCCAATCTGTGACTGACGCGCGCTTTGGTAAGACCAGAGGGAAGGAGCAAAGTATCATTGGGGTGACTTTTGCTTGGCGCAAGCACTCACAGATGGATGCCCCAATTCAACAGAGAAGGCAGGCGCGGCTCAAGAAAAGGCAGCCGCCCCGCCCCCCGAGGCTTCAAGGTCATTGACAGTGCAGGCAGGAACGTTTGGTGCGTCTGCAGTCACAAAGGTGTGTAGTTGCCCCTGATACAAACAAGGCTGAAGGGAGTTTCAGCCTGCCAGACAGCCTGCTTAACATTGCATCACCTTGTGCAGAATACCCAGGTCTGACCTCCTGCGTCGGCCATGTCCACATGTGCGGAGCGACTCCTCTGAACTCGGTTGTCTCTAATCATCGCGGCCGTCCTTGATATCTGCCGACTTCCCAAACAAGCGCCAAACCATCTCCGGACCGTGATTTCGGCTTCATTCTTTGACCAACCATCACCTCCGTACCTATGAAGAAACAGGGCTAACACATCTTTCTGTCGCCCGTTTCGAGTTGACCACGACCCCAACCCTGATGCCGAATCCCGACCACAAACACACCCTCCACTGCAAGATTGACCACAAGCACAACCACGACTACGCTGACAAGCATGGACAGAAGTACGCTCATAACCATGGCCACAATTGCGTGCCCTTATCTTCACCACGCCGCCACCCGACATCGCCCATTCTCCCCGTCCCGATGATTGCAAGAGTCACCGATAGCGCACCGGGGCTCCGAGTCCGATGGTGTTCACTTCGAGCTACACCCAAAAGAGCGGTGGACGTACAATTGGGGTACCCCGCAGGTCAGGTCAAGAGGAGGAAGAGAGAACACTCGTCTGGGCTAGGAACTTCCTTTCAGAACACAGGCTTCGCATTGTCCAAATCAAGTGCCAGATCCCAAGGGGGGCGGAGACTTGAAAAAAGGCTCGAAGGCTGAGGTCTGGAAGGGCGTTTGTAACTCAGCCCCGTGGGACTGGGAGTGCAGATTGTGGTGAGGGAAGTGAAGAGATAAACATATGCGAGGGGGAACACCGAGCTATCAAGACAAGAAGCCGAAGTTTTGATGCACTTTCTGCTGGGAGAGAAACCTCGCCAGTCGCGGAAGAGGTCTTGGTATGTTTAGAATGATAGAGCCCGCCCCGGAATACGTTGATGATCTAATTGGGGTCCGGAACCTCGCTCTCGGATACCACTCCATCAACTAGGAACCGTCCCCAACGGCAATTTTGCAAGTGCCTGTCGCTACCAAAAATCCAGTCGAGTTCCCGCACTGACGGTACTTTAGATGTAAGGGCCCATCAATCCTATGCAGTCAAACCAGTGGTCTGGCATGGAAGGACTTCTAAGAAGAGGTGTGATTCGCAACGTCGGTCTTGGCGGATTTAGGCAAATGGTGCGTTGCAGATGACGACCAGAGACGTGGGTAGATTGTGTAGATTATCCGCCTACTCAACCGGACGGAAGCCCGAAAGTGATTATCGTCTGCAGTAACGCCGTGTCATTAGGAAAAAGAGGAAAGGAAGGACAAAATATCAAGGAACATAAGCCCGGAGCAATCCCCTTATGCCCAGCGCGGTCCTCGCAAAGATCTGCTCGGGACTATCCCAAATAGCACAACCGAAAAGTCGCATTCCACGAAGATGACGAAAAACCTCCTCTCCCTCCTGGCCCTCGCCGCCAGTGCTGTCGCCACCCCGACTCCTCCGCCCCTAACCTTCCTGTACAGCGTCAACCTCACCATGCCCGCCGGCACCGAGCTCGGCCACGTTCCCTACGGAAGCAGAGCTCTGTTACCTATCTCCGGCGGCACATTTTCTGGTCCCAAGCTCAACGGTACGCTTCTCCCTTCTCCCAGATCCCCTGACTATTTCCTGCCAGATTTTCCGAATAGTCCCATCGAACCATCAGCCGCTAACCCTCCCTCCTCTTCTTCCTATCACGCAGGCAAAGTAGGAATCGGCCTCGACTGGGGCCTCACCGACTCCAAGGGTATCTTCAGCCCCGACGCCGTCTACGCCCTGCACACGGACGACAACTCCACCATCATGGTGACCGAGAAGGGCCACGCGCCGCACGTGCACATCCTGTTCGAGACCAGCAGCGACAAGTACGCGTGGCTGAACTCGATCGTGGGGTACGCGACTGGTGCGCCGTTTGAGGGCGGGGTGACGCTGGATGTTTGGCAGGTGAGCTAGCTTGATTTCCTGTTTCGCCTTTCTTTGCTTCTTGTTCTGGGTGGGGTCCTCGGTCGCCCACTAGGGGTGGTGAAGTTGGGATGGTGATGGTTGGGGTTTGTCGTTTTGGGTTGGGGTGGGATGTAGGCGACGAAGTGTCGTTGAGGGTGGCGGTTTGAGTACTAAGATGGCCAGATGAGAGGACAATGCTGACGAATGGATGCCTTCTGTTGGTAGATTGGGGGATAAAGCTCTCGAAGACTTCTGGTTTCTTGGGCTGCGATGAAAACAGATCCGTGTCAGGTGGGGCTTTCGAAAAATAGTTGCCCACTGCGACAAGCGCCCTCGTTAGATACCGAGTGCACCACTTGAAGGTGTCGGGGGGTTAGGGCACAGGGAAGTCATATGCCCTATACAGGACCGGATCGACCGATATTCTCTTTGATTTGAGGCCATTCATTTTCTCCAATTCAGCCTTGAACCATCTCCTGTTGTCTTCTGTATTCCTCGTGGGAGGTGAATTCAGAAATAGTCTGCCGAGAAGCTGGTCAATGAAAGAGCCCATGTCGTCCTGCTTGAATATCCTGCTATAAAGGTCGCCATTCTCACCCCAGTTGACTGGGAGCGCTCGTCGATCGGCGAGCCACTTGTCAGGGTCTGCGATCGGTCCTTCAGCCTCGAAAACCGAGTTAATCTGGGAGCTGAGTTCTTGCTGTAACAGTTTTCCACTTTTACCTTCAAGCACAGAGCATATCGCCTCCGACTGGCAATCACTTGGCGAAACGCTAACATTGTCAACGTCCTTCTCCCGATGCTTCCTGGTGATAAGGAGCACTTTTCTGTGCACGGGGTGACCCTCCAGCCTTGAAAGAGTCTAATGGTAGTATGTGCTGTGAAACGAGGTTGGATCTGACAAGTTTTCCTTTGATAACTCTGTTGATACCGGGTTGAGGCTATCCTCTGCAGGTACAGAGTGGCGTTTAATAATGTGCTGGGCAAATCGAACCAGTTGAGCAATATTGCACTCAATAACAATCTCTCCTGCACTGATGTGGTCGCTGTCGTCGTCATAGCATCCCCATACACCGCCCAGTGGAGAATCATCTTGAAGGAGCCGAATAAGAAAGCTGACCCGTGAATCCAAATCAAATTTATGGAAGACGAATGTAAAGAGCAGCTCCTCAAGAACAGCGTAGCCGTACTCGTCGCTGTTTTGAGTGCCAACTCTTCGGTTGACAATTCGGCCGCAACACTTGATCTAGTGTGACGTTTTCTGCACCTCCGAAAGGCAAGACATCGAAAATTCGTGCATGTTTTTGAGTAACCAAACTGGTAACATATCATCTCGACATGCAAGATCCTCAGGCCTCAATGGTGAATGAATACATCTGAGTTCCCTTCGCACAATGTATCGGTAGATGATGTCGGTGGAAAAGGGAAACGTTTCACTCATGCAAAACCACCACAAAGCCTGAATTTCGGCAAAATCTGCACCTAACCGGATGCCCTCCGAATCAGAGATTCCATTCAATGCATCCAGTAATGTACCTGTCAAATATCCTTGAGCTGCTGTAAAAAGCAAAGAGGACAGATAAAAGTAAGCGAGCACACTTTGCTCTTGACCATCAACCTGAAGTCGGGTAGGTATACGAATAGGCCATTGTGGAAAGTGTAGGCCCGTCTTAATAGACGCACTCTCTTGTAGGCCATACTCGTGCAAGAATGGCCACACTCCATGTATGATACGAGTCTGGGGATAGCATGCCTTCCTACCCGCGCTTCTTTGTCTTGCTGCCACTCTACCAAGAGGCTAGGATATCTTTTTGTAATAAGAATCACTAGATCGGCCAGCCATTCACTCCAGGCTCCGCCGTCAGTGTTATGGCGCATGGAAAGGGTGGCGTGGTCAAGAATGGCTGCTATGGCTTGATATCGATCCTGTACTCTTGTAGGCATTTCTTCCACGAGTCGCGATAGTACCAGTTTGTTATCGCTAACGATATCTTGGATAGAACACCGCAATCTCTCTTGCCGAAGAAGGTCCAGACGCCGGAAAACTCCATGAACCGTACACCAGGTATCGGGAGATTAGCGATTGAACGAGCTCAATGATGACCTCCTGTCCAGTCAACACGGGGCTTTCCATAATAGTCCTGCCAAGTGGTTTGTCCAGTATGAAATCCCTCGCTGTGCGATGAATAAAAGTAATTTGGGTACAAAACGCGGCGTCCCAGAGCTTTACCAAGTCATGTGCTGAAGGCAGAAGCTCGTCCTTGCAATCTTGATCAGGAGAGAGAAAGGCAGATAAAGGCATTAGAAGCAGCCCGGTCCAAGTACGAGGCACAAATTCCTCGAAAGACCATCCTCTGGGTGCTTATTTGTCACGAATTTCGAGGAGGCCACCGCAGCACAAATGAATTCGCTAGCGGGTACGCTCAATTGCGACGAGCAAGTCTCAGTATTGGTGTGTGCTTGCGGTGGAGAATTTGTCGGCGCCATCTGTCGTTGGATGAGATCGTTACGTCGAGTAAAGATAAACTATCTTCATCGGAAACCTCCACATTACTTGACAAGCTAGGGGGCAGCGTGTGCCATTGGATCACCAGCTGAAAGTAATCCGCTGCCTCAGCACGGTAATCTTCCTCGTCTTCGCCATGTCTCTGCCATGTCTGCTTGTACAAATTCTCAACACCTGTTGGCATTTTCTCGATTCGCCTCGGGACCTCGCCCAGAGAGCCGATGGCCTCACGCCCGTTGTGGATCCTGTGTAGGACGAGGTGAACCCATAGAAAGACACCCTCTGACCGGTCGATGACTAGGTTTATGATCTTATCACGAATCGCTTCGTTGTTGTTGGCATTGCTTCCCGTACCAGAAAGCGAGAAGTCACTAAGGAAGTTCCTGACTGTCACAGAAACATCCTCTCTTGTGAGATCCTGTAGCCTGAGTTTGCGAAATTCTCCTCCCATTATCCTGTCGAGTGGGACTTCTGGACGGCTGGCAAGGCAAAGATTTATTTCAGGTTGCGCTTGCAATAGATCTTTGACGAAGCGATGAAATTCCACCCTGTCTTCGTCATCGATTTCGTCAAGTCCGTCAAGGAATATGCAAACCCGTTTGTCGAGAATGTGAAGGGCCCTCGACAGAACTTGTCTAAGCTCTGATTTGGACCACTCGTCGGCATAGGAGCGCTGGTTGAGGAAGGAAAATTGAAGCATCAGTTGGTTGACGAGCCCGGCAATTTTGCTCAGTAGCTGATGGAGTAAAGAGCAAAGGAGTCTCTGCAAACTCTTCTGATCCTTTGTTCCGGAAGTCCATAGGAAGTGAGACAGGATGATAGGATGATTGGCCCAGTTGATGAGTCGGTTTCGGGTCCGCTCGTCTCTGACAAGCAATTTCATCAAAGTGCTCTTGCCCTCGATCCAGTACATCCTCTCACTTTACTCAAGCCATGCGACAAAATTGTCCCATTTGCTATGCTTCTCGTTACCGAAGATCCATTGCAAGGTCCTCTTATGTGATTCTCTCACTTGGTCTCGCCTCGAGTGAAGATCAGGAAACGCCAGGCTGCTAAGAACTTTCAAGTGTTAAAAAATTTCTTCGGCTTCTTTCGTGTCTTGCGCCGCATATTGAGAGTTGAGCCTGTGTGGCAATGATGTTAGGGTCACTTGTCCTCATGGTATTACGTTCGTAAATAAGAAAATGCATACCATAATAGCCGGAGAAGCCCAGTTTGCAGTGTCTGCTCGGCCCGTTTCATATCCCTTTCAAGGTCTTGAAGATTTGAACTCTTGACAAATGTTTTCAACACTCACATAAGTGGATGCCTCTTAAGACGCTGTGTGGAAGATGCCAAATTTGCACCGTCCCCGTTGCTGCTTGCGTTTGCCTCCGACTCCTTGGATCCGAGCTTCCCGCGAACTCGGGACAAGAAGCGGTGACGTTTAGAATCCGAGGTCGTTTTGTCCGTTGTCCAGTCTATCTTCTCAACCTCATCGGCCATAGCGCGTGCAGCGATCACGCACTGTTGTGCGGTCTTCTGAAGTTGTTTGTGCTCTTCGGTGCAGACACCGGCTGAATCAAGTGCCGATAACGATTGCTCCAGTTGTTCAGACAGGCCCCACAAAGCCACTGACGGTGTAGATAGAGCGGGATCGGGCGAGCCAGTCTCGACAATCTTCCTAGTCAGGTTGATGAGCTCGCCGGTAAAGCTGATGATTTGAAGGGCGCCACCAAAGATCCCTAAAATTGTTCCTGGATCCGCCATCGTGTCGTGAGCCCGTGGAGGCCAGCGCGCCGCATCGGTGAGTACGGTACGAGGGGATTGTTGAGATATATGATGGCGTTGATGTACGAGGTTCTCTCACGAGAAAATGCAAAGCAAGGCTTGAGATGTTGAAGGATTGCTGGAGACGGTCTTGTCATCTTTGAGCCTACCTCATCTCTGGTCCCTCTTAAGCTTCTTTCAGCCCACCAAACACAATATTGTCAGCTGTCCTGACTGCTTAATGGGCAGATCTCCTCCCGCGGGCGCAGCATATCTGAAGCTGGTCTACTGGTCCAATCCCGACATGTACCTGTCGCCAAATGATACCCAATTCCACAGAGGTAGCTAAGGAGTGGAGGAGCGGGTGTTCTTGGTCTCAAGTTGGGCGCCGGCGGCAATTGATCGTGTCTACGCGCCACTGAATCGCCCATTCTTCTTATATAATCTTTATATGTCACAAAAACCCAAAGATGTGAGGAACGCATTCCAAGTTTGTTCATGATGGTTTCTGCGGTAAGCGATTTTGTGGCTTTGCTGGCGGGTGTCCGTTGCGTCGTTCGGGCCACTGGGAGCTTCAGGCTCTTCAATTCTTTGCTGCGGAGTTGGCCCGTTGGTTTATGGACGACTCAATTGGGCCGGAGCCGTGTTGGGCTTCTTTCAACGGAAATCTTTAGAGAGGGATGAGGCAGATTAGGTCAGTGATGATTTTTGTTCGGTTGGTAGTGTCTTACGAGAAGACGAGGGCGAACGGTCCGCGGTAGGAATACCTAGCTTCACAGGATTTCATGGAGGAGCCTTGGAGGGGTTGGCCACGACGCTACAGCGGGCACAGCTTGTTCACAGGGGCAGGGAAAGGGCAACGGCGAAAGTACCTTATCAGCTTATCGCGCTTATCAGATAGCATCCAGTGCCCTGGGCTGCTACCTAAGTACCAAACCACCAAGTTGCAACATGTTTTTGTGAGCTCTCTTCACTTGTGCCAACACCGGTTGGAAGTTCAGAGTGGATTGGAGCGGTGCAGCCATTTGAAAGACGTCCAATTCAGGTCTGACTTCTGCTTATTTCGTAAAAGATTGCCTTCTATTAAGCATTGATCATGTGGCTTCAACCCTAACCCCAGGCCCTTTATGGCGAGATCTCGCCACTAATATCACAAACTCCATTCACCTTAAACTAGGTTGTTTGTTCGTCTTTTGATTGACGGGGTTTTTTATGCCGGGCCAGGTCGCTTTCTCTCGGTTAGTGGTCTCTGGTGCACACAATCCCACAGAAGCTGCCACTTGCCAGAGTTCAACCCGAGCCATGTCGCTCCTTCTTCTCTCTAATCGCGACTTCCTCTTGGCTTAGAGGTGTTACCCATCGACAATTTCCCATTTTCTTTTAGCCAGGAATGTGGTGAAGCCTGCCTTCGCTCAACAAAGATGAAGAGCAAAGCAGGAGCAAAGTCAGGAAGGAGCTCTGGGATGACGATATGTCCACAGAGATTCCATCTTGTTCCCGCGTCTCTCACCAGGCAACGAATCGGGAGATCCTTGGACGCGTACGCTCGATGCAATGCATGATGCTGTTCACCTCAGTTCCCCGCACCGTCACCACCAGACACAACAGGTAGCTTCCTAGCATTCATTGCAGTCCGAGTCCAAGAGACACAAGCACATTGGCAGACCATCTCAAAAGGCGCCCAGCACCACTTCCGCCACTTCGGGTCGCACCTCATCTCGGGTGACACACATGAACTGGATGACGTCGCCGTTACGGATGTCCACCAGCTGACTTGCCTGCACCTCCGCATTGTCCTCCTTCCCGTGCAGTAACAGCAGTGTCGTCATGTTATTCAAGATAGGAGTAATAAAGTGTGTGTTTTCTGCTGTTGAGTGATAAAGAGCAGTTCCTCGTCGTTCTCCTTTCTCTTCGACATATCTTCAATCGGCTTCTCGTGTAGTCGAAGTCAATAACTACGCAACAACATGATCCATCCAGAGCAAGTCGCCGACATGCTTCGGCCCATCACATCCACCCTCCTGCCAACGGCTACGTCTGTGCCGGGACCGGTCCCAACCGTGATCCGTACGTATCTCGTCCCCATGTTATAATCCTCATCCGGGACCTGTCAACCTCGATTACCCAGCTAACAACCCATGTATCAGCAACCCCAACAGAGTACCAGACCGTCGGTGAAGCAGGCCGCCGCACCTTATGGGTGACATTTGCCCTGATGGTCCTCTCCTCGGGCCTCTTCGCCCTCCTCTCGTGGAACGTGCCGACCTCGAAGCGTCTCTTCCACGTCATCACGACGCTCATCACGATTGTCGCCTCGCTGTCGTACTTCGCCATGGCCACAGGGCACGCGACCACCTACAACTGCAGCACTGTCTGGGACCACCATAAGCACGTGCCCGACACCTCGCACCAGGTCTGTCGTCAAGTGTTCTGGGGCCGCTACGTCGATTGGGCCTTAACCACGCCGCTGTTGCTGCTGGACCTTTGCTTGCTGGCCGGCGTTGATGGTGCCCATACTCTCATGGCAGTTGTGGCGGATGTCATTATGGTACTGAGCGGCCTGTTCGCGGCGCTTGGAGAGGAAGGAAAGACGGCCCAGAAGTGGGGTTGGTATACCATTGGGTGCATCTCTTACCTCTTCGTCATCTGGCATGTGGCGCTCCATGGCGGACGGACTGTCAGTGCCAAGGGACGTGGTGTCTCGAGATTGTTTACCGGTTTGGCCCTGTTCACGCTATTGCTGTGGACTGCGTATCCCATGTAAGTGTTCTGTCGTATTGTGTTCTCTGCTCGCTGCTAACGACACTTTCTTTTGCAGTGTTTGGGGAATCGCTGATGGTGCCCGCAAAGCAAGCGTCGATACCGAAATCATGATCTACACCGTTCTCGACTTCCTGGCGAAGCCTGTCTTTGGTTTCTGGCTGCTGCTTAGCCATCGTGCCATGCCCGAGACCAACATCGACCTTGGCGGCTACTGGTCTCATGGCCTCGCTACTGAGGGTAGAATCCGCATCGGCGAGGAGGACTAAGTGGTGATGACTGACGATGGGGTTCAAGTGTGTGAGATGGGGAGGTGCAGTGTCAAAGATATCCCAAGTCAAGAGTGTGGTGGGGCTTCGGAGGTGATGGAATATCTGGGTTTATGGAACAACTTGGGGCTGAAGATGGACGTGGTCATGATATTACGATAATGATCGGGCAAGAGGATGTTTTTGGTTGTCATTCCTACTAGGGCTAAAAGTGTGTATAATAGTAATAACCGCTCATCTCCGAGTACATTAGCGAGAGTAAGAAACGAAATATTGCATTTGAACAAGAGCGGTTATCGTGTTGCAACTATTTTGATTATGTTCGGCCACCTCTCTACTGACTTCCAAAACGGTCCTCCTTGTGTTTGAACCATGGATAAGCAGCCTGCCTTCATCGACGCCAGAAGCAATTGACAGACTCATACAACTCTCGTGTTTCCCGTGTTTCCTGAATGCGGGCGTCTTTCAGTCAATTCGGCATCCATGTCATGTCATCTCCTGTCTCCATCGGATCATTTGAGTACCGCCTATACAGCCGCATTGCAGTTTCACAGATACAGAATCCCATGCTCTATGGACTGATATCTGCTCGGCTTTGTTACAAAGCCGGCAAAATTGGTGTTGCATTCCGATTTGAAGTTGCAGTTATATTTACGATTCATAACGAGTTTTCTTGGCCCATCTCGTCCGCGTTGTGACTGAAATTCGCCCTCAAGTCCTACCATAAATCATAGGTCAGGGAGGACTTCCTCGCCGATGGGTACTGTGCTTCTACATGGTGTTTTTCCCCCTGCCGCTCCCGCTTCTGCTCCCGTCGCCGTCGCCGTTGTCATTAGTTGCCTTACGCGCCTTACGATAAATAGAGGGATCAATCTCGCAGCTGAAGACCATGCTACCGTTGGCCATCGGTTGGATGCTTCATCAAATCGTACATAACCCTTCTATGTACCTTCATTTACTGCCGATAAAGAAGGGCCCGGGTACTTTAGATCAGACGTGGCGCGCCCTTGGCCAGGGAAGAAAAGAATACCATGCCATAAAATGCCATCACGCCAATCCCTGAGAGCGTATCAAAAATGAACTGGAGCTTAGGAGACGTTGGCAAACCTTCCTCCCAAGTCACGATGTTGACGGCTTGAGGCGGATCAAAGAGAATCTTTTCCGCTTATCACTATCACTACGCGTAGATACCGAAACGCCTCTCATCGAAGAAAGGTTGCCCTCGGAAGCAACAAACGTTGCATTCGATCTCCATACACTACCATCCAATGGAGCTAGGAGGTAGGTATGGTTGCAGTTGCTCATTTGACGGGGTCTTACGGCGAGGCGACGCACGCACACACATTGACTGACAAAACACATTGACACGGGCCACTGAACTCTGTGGGTTGCATTCATAGTAGAGGACGTTTGGAGGTTCAAAGTTGTAGTATCCCTCAATCTCTTTTTTTGAGATTTTGTCTTTGGGAAAAACGCATGCGTTTCATTTTCAAAATGATGCTGAACCGTGTTTGTGACAGAATTCCTCGTGAAAAAAAAGGGAGGACGTGTAGAAAATGATGAGAGGACTGAAACACATGACACAGGAAGAACCACGTTTCTACGGTTCCGCGGGCTCTCTAAAGGGATTGCAATGCATTTTCTTGGACGGAAACGCCCGCAGGTCTCCAGAAAAGAAAAGTGTTTGTTAGTGAAATTGAGACATTATACGTAGACAAAACGTTTCCCAAGGGATGGTAAAGTTTTCAGTGTGAAGAGTGGAATGTGAACTGAATCTTTCTATGAAATGGAAATGGAAATAATACCAGCAACTGGAACGAAGAACCGCGTTCGTGCGTAGGGATTGCGTAATTACGTATCAACTTATTATTACAAATACGAATGTTACACTGTTACGCGGATAGATACCGGGGTCTGGGGTAGGACTAGTCCAGATGGGGAAGGGATGAGCACCCATCTGTAAGAGAGTTTGTTACCTGTTGCAGATCGCTGTACGCACTCCGTTCCTGCTAACTTCGTCAACGCCTTGAGATGATAGCATCGTGGCGGTAGGTGCAATGGAGGTAGATGATTGCTAAACACAGGAAGCAACTGAACAGAACGGGGAGACACGAAGCGTGGACTTGTGTTGACGAGTACAGCGCAACTATCCGATACCTCAAATAGCACGAATCTTGGATCTCGGTGTGCACAACGCCAACGACGGTGTACGAGGGGCCGGATTGCGGACAGCGGACAGCGGGCAAGCGGCCGACCCGTTCGCGGCGAACCTTCCGGGCGCTACGGGCCACGACCAAGTTGTCCAACGGGCCGGACGGGAAAGTTTCATCAGGAGTTCGTTGCCTGTTTTTCGCTTCGGATTCCCGAAACCGTGTTGGAAAGGGAAGAATCGGCACTCACATCTTCTTTCGCCTTCAATTTGCCGCCTTTGTTTGCTGTTGTTTCTCGTCGGCCGACAAACTGCCACCGCCGCCGTAGCGATCAATTGGGGCTTTCAATGTTCAATCGCCAGCCATCCAGCCATCGGGAATATCCAAATTCTGGCTGGTCAAGTTGGTCGACTCCAACTCGACCTCGACCTTCCCCTCACCTGGCCTAGCTGCCCGCCTGCCTGCCGCCACTTTGCTTGTCCCGCATTCGCCCAGCAGAAAGATGTGAACGCCACCCGAAACCTTGTGGCGTCTGGGGTTAGGGATAGGTTTGCTTCTTATTGGTGTCATCAAGCGGGGTTGAACGGCACGCGGAGGGCAAACTCTGACCAGAATCGACAGGTCGAGAAATCGGAAAGGCGGCTTGTCAGTCAAGCTTTTCTCTAACGAGCGACGGCGCTTCGGCTGACAGCGGTGTCAGCGGCAAGGTCGATCTTCTTTCGATAGTTTATGATGCTAGAGATGCCAAATACCGAAAGTGCCTCAAGTTCTGGCGATGGACGACGTCGATGCTAAAGTTGGATGCACGACCTGATGACCCAACTAGTCCGCGTAGTCATATTATCGTCACAGAGAAAATCGCGACGTATGTTAGGTCGAATTTGGGATGGTCAAGCCGTCATCACGATGGAAGACTTGCTGACTGCCGGTGGAATAACTGGCTCATCTGAAAGAAAGGAGTACTGTAGAAGTTAGTGGTAGTGACATCTGTCTCGTCGTCATTCCTACACTAGACAACAATTAGCCTTTGCACACTTTGGGCACGGCAATTGAAAGCACCCACACGACGATGAGGTTGTCAGGAGGCAAAGGAACTTGACAAAAGCAGAAACTCACCGACACAAGATTGACAAGGACGAAGAACCATTGCCATGGCTAGACAGAGAACGGTTCCCTGACTACCTATCCCCATTAATATCTGCCTCTCGATGGTTTTCAGTTTGTAAACAAATCATCCCTTTGCAATTTACAAATGCACTTCCCGGATCGCGAATGACCAACGCCTCCTTGCTAACGCGGCACGGTACTGCAGCGCGGCCGATTTTGTTGGTCAGAACACCCCCCCTCCAGAACGGCCCGAAAAGAAGACAGAATAGGGAATACATCCGGTCATCAACCTCCGGTCCTCTACACCGCGTACCCAATGGTTGCACGCCCGACCACAACAACATGGAATTGAGACACCCCCTGGGGGCCAGACATGTTGTGGGGCCGGTAAAGAAGCACGTCGGCGGAAAGGGATTGGCTACCTTTACCTCGGTCACTAGCCACGCCGTAGAAACACAGGAACGGATACCACTATGATCTTCTGTGTGTCCACAGCACCAAACGTCTCAGCAATCCGTCTGTCTCTCGAAGAATACAGCCGAACAAGCTTGAATCCTCGGATGGGCAAGGCTGACAGGAGGTGGATCTCGTGCGAAGAAATCCGGTCCTAAAGATTGATTTGTAGATCCGGCAAATAACGAGCCACGATCCGAAACAAAGAGAGCTGGCCACTCGGAGCTCCAGGTCTGGAATCACAGAACCAGACCAGGCGGCTGACTTAGTAGGGTAAACAGGGCTGGTGCTCTAGCCTGTCGAGCTAGGGGTATCAAACGAGGATTTCTTTGTCAAGTTTTGCCAACCACCCTCCACCAGCGCAAACTCCTCTGAAAGAATCAGGCGACAGGTGCAACAAAGGGGCGCTTCCAGCCCTCCAAGTGGGCTGCCGAAAGAGCAACAACAACAAAGAAAGAAACCTCTGTCACATGAGACCACATTTGATATCCAGGGGGGCCACATGATGCGGGTTACCGTCCAGGCTGGTAGACCTGGCTGGCCGGATACAGTCGAACTGTTTCAACTGAGGTGTGCGGTACAATCCTTCAATCTGCTATTGCTGTTGGGTACACCGTAAGGATTGATCGAATGTTGAACCATCTTCAGGTTCCGGTGCGGCTTGTTGCGGGTGTCAAAAATAAGCCCCAGCTGGTTTCCAGCCCCCTTGACTGACGCCGAAAACAGAGGGCATTCGTGCACTGGAACCATCGCGGTCGGTGATGTGCCTGGCCCTGGAAATCTCAGCACCGGAAAGGCGAGCATATGACAGAAAAAAAGACTTTGTCCCCCAACTCCACCATTTTAATATCCAATCTCCAGGAAGGGCTGGGCTCGGCGAAGCTAGCGAATTCTGGGCCAAGTGGAAGGCAACAACAACAAAAATTGCGGAATGGCCTCACCTAACGATAGCCGGGAACCGACGGTTTGGTGGTGTGGTTCAGTGGTTTTTTTTTCTTTTACAGCGGAACAAGCCACTCATGTCATGGACGAATTTTAGCTTCTTGGCCTTGCCAGGAGTCCCCGATTCGATTTGCCAAGTCCCGTCGCTGATGAAGGGCCCCGCTTCATTCCCGTTGCCGGGCGCGGGAAAGCGGTCTTGAACTTTTTTTTTGCTTGTGTTGTTGTTGTTGTTGTTGCTGGCAAAATTTCTAGAATTGATGAAAAGTCACATGTCATGTGAAAAATCGCTTTTTTAGACTTCATATCACTAATACCCACACTGGAAACGATTTTCATGCGGTGGTATTC